ATGTCCCTTCGAGCATGGGCATGTGGGTGCACGTGTGTGCGCACACGTGCGTGCATGCGCGCATGTGCGCACACGCACGCGCGCACACACACACAGAGTCACACACAATAAATAAGTGCAATAGTTAAACCACTTGAAGGCATGCAGTGCATAAAGCCCACCCCCCGGGGTGTCTGGATCAAGCTAACTGGGCTTCAGAGCTTGGATGAGAATGGAGACTTGGGAATGCAGAAGTAGGAACAACTCAGAAAGACAGGTTAGTGGAGGGAAATTCATGTCAGAGGTAGGACTGCTGAGCGGAGAGAGGAGAGGAACCCTTGGATGGGAAGTCGGATGAGACGGCAACAAGGAGAGCTTACTCACCTGCTTACAGTGAGGCAGCCAAACGTTCCATGAGGAGTTCTTTCAGGAATGGTGACAAAAGAGGGAAAAATTGTCCGGGACACAGAACTCAGGCCATTTGACCCAAGAAAGTCATACTCTCAGACTCAGGTGTCCAGGTACTCAAGATTAAGGGAAGGGACACTGACCTGCTCTGAGTGGTCTGAAATCAGACCCAAGGGCTGAAGGCAGGGCTTGAGGTCAGGAGTAGGGTCTGCCCGGTTGTTCCTCCAGAGACAGGCTTGGATCTGCAGTCACAGGATCGTGAGACGTGCCAGGGGGTGGAGTCTCCACGTACAAAAGGGTGGAGAACAAGAGGGGACCCCTACCTGATGGACTGCTCTCGCTGTTAGTTCTGGGCGGCTGCGATGTGCCTGTGTGACATCATTCAGTGGCAGCGGCATGGACTTCAGGCTGTGGTTCTGTTCCAGGGCTTGGGCCACATCCAGCAGGCCCAGAGCAGATGTGTTGTTCCGGTCCCAGATCACAGACCTGGGCCCCAGCAGGCTTCAGCTGGGGCAGAGCCTCACCCAACCCTCTGGCCTTATCCATCCGTCTACCTCATCGGCCTGCACTCCACAGCCCCCCACACACACCCGTCTGATATATCCCCCTTCCTTCTCTTGTCGGCCCCAGCCCTTGTAAGGACCATGCCCACCGTAGCCTGGTGTTGACTCGTAGAGCCTTGGCTAGCATCTTGGCGCCAGCATCCCCTATGGCATTGCCACTGATATCCAGTGCTGTCAGTTTAGGATTGGTGCCCAAAGCCCGAAGCAGGACGCTGGCACCCTGCTTCAACCGGGACTCAGCCACTGATAGAGACTGCAAAGGCTGCGATTAAAAGAAAAGCATTGATGGATGACTGGAATCAGGTTAGGTCAAGAGGGTCTGAAGAAGCAAAAGTGAGGAGGATTACAGGAGGCTGGTTGCTTGAGGAGCCCGCAGGGTTCTGTGAACTTACACAGTCATCGTCCTGTATGAGCTGGACGATCCGGTGCAGGACATCGTCCAGGGTCTCCCTGTGGGCAGGGGCCGCTGTTAGGTTAGGGGACGACCTGGGTGGTAGAGTCCTATCTGAGAGGTATAGGGATGGGCTTGGGGCCTACTTGCACCGAACGTTGAAGTTTCTTCCAAGGGCCACGTGTTTCAGAGACCGGCTTCTCTCAATGGCGAGCACCAGAGTCACCATGTCGGAGCCAAAGCCTGAGGGTAACTAGGGTGAGGCACAAGTCGATGCTGCCAGGGCAGGGTCCCCCCTAGGAATCGGGTGAATAATGGGAGTGTGGATGGGTTCCCTGGTGGCCTCACCATTGTCCGACAGATCCAAGGAGCTCAATGCACTCGCATCACAGACTAAGTCTTGTATCACCTGGGCACCCGCGGAGCGCAGCTGGAGGTGGAGGTAGGGCGCACTTAGGAAATTTATGCCAGAGTGGGGAAGACCTCCCAGTCCCACTCCCAATGTGTGGACCTGCTCCCGTCTCACAATCAGGACCAGGTGCCTACCTCACATGCGCTGAGGTCCAGGTGCAGGTCGCGGATCTGCGTGTTGAGCGCAAGACCATCTAGAAGGGCCCTGGGAGAGGATGTCACACAGGTGACAAGATCTGGGAAAGTGGGACTCAGGGTGCTAACAAAAAGCCTGCGCCAGGCAGGTTGGGGTTACGGAAGGTTGTGGGTGGGGTAGAGTGGACGGTGGAGGTCTGGTCAAGGTTGTGAGTGAAGGCATGGGGGCGTGGCCACGGGTAGCAAGCACTGACCTAAGCGCTTCAGGTGGCAGCTTGCAGCCAGCCAGGCCCAGATGCTGCAGCATCCTGGCACTGCTGAGGAAGCGTTGCAGTGCAGCCGGTGCCGCTCGGGACTTCCTGCGGCGGAGGGTGAGGAGAAGGAGAAGAGGGATTCAGGCTCACAGAGCTCATTTCCCGAAGCCTCTTCCTCCCGAGCCTGCCTGGTGCCCCTTACGCGCGGGAGAAGATATTCCTCGAAGCTTCAAGGTGGGTGAGGCTGGAGCAGCAGCCACCAGATAACGCTGCAAAGAGCTAAGGGAAGACGATATCGGTGATAACCTTCCATTAAACCTGGCCTTCTCTACTACGCCCTGCGCTCCAGCCTACCCTACGCTCACACTACCAAGCCCCACCAAATATCCCCCACGACGACACTCTTACCGTGCCTAGAGCGCTGTCGGTGCCTGCCAGATTCAGAAACACCAGAACGTTAGGACGGCTCAGGAAAGCGTACAGGCCCTGTGGAGGAGGTGAAAGAGGGAGTCAGGGATTGCCTAAGGATCCCTGGCACCCCACTGACCGGGCAGCTCAAATTTCTGACTTTAAAAACTGCCACTCACCCCACTATCCTGGGAGGCTCCCAACGCACCAGGGTTCCCAGAAAGATCCAGGTGGGTCAGGGTAGAGTCAAATGTGGCATTGGCTGCCAGTGCCCTGCCTAGAGCCCTCATTCCTGGAGGTAGCAGAAGCAGCGGTTCAAAATCAGACAAACGCGCCTCACCTCACCCCCTCCCAACCCTTGTCAGCCCCACCCACCTCGAGGCGTCAACCCAGTCTGGGCTAGGCTGAGTCTCCTCAGGGCTCCTGGACAATGCTCCAGATGTCTGCTGAGTGCAGCCATACCTGTGGGCAGAGCGGCTATGTGAGCCCCACCTCTCCCAGCTGTCTGCCTTGGGTCTCCCAGGTTCTGCCATACCTCTGTCGTCCAGCAAGTTCCCAGACAGGCTGAGCTCCCGAAGTCCAGAGTTAGTGTGTCCGGCCAGCGCCTGGGCTAGTCGTCGAACAAAGTCTCTGAGGATCAAGACCCTGGTGTAAGACTGATTCCCGGTCACTGCATAGACCGCTAGTTCCCAAGCCCAAGCCCTGCTCAGGCCTCTCACCCTCGAAGGCCACAGGTCTCCAGTACCAGCTCCTCCAGATGGGAAGACTGACTCATCATGTGCAGAATCTGTTCTGAGACCTCCAGGCTCTGAGACCAAAGGGCCATGACTCAGTAGGCTGAACTTAGACTCTTACACCCTTGGTATCCCCTGGTGAGTACCCTCACCAGCTTCATGTCCACGCAGGAGAGGCGACGGAACCACAGGTTGTAAGATAGGGCAGCTACACTCAAGGCCAGGTCTCTGGTGTGGGGAAGAGGAGGTACAGAGCTCAGAGCCTTCTAGATACTAGGCCCGGCCAGCATGCCCTCCACAGAGAGGCTAAAGTCTAGGAATATGGGTCCTAGAGTCCTTTCCTCCCAATCTTGGCAGGCCTCATACCTGCTGCCAAGGTGGGCGAAGTCTCCAAGGCAGAAATGGCGGCAGCCTTGACGATGGTAGATAGTGTCCACATCCTGGACGTGAAGAAAAGTATCCACAATTGGCTTGGGGCCACAAAGGGTAGAGGGGTTCAGCACACATGGGAGACATCTCCAGAGCTCTCACCCACTGAATCTCCTCTCGAAAAGGAAAGCCGTTGTAGTCACACAGAGCTTCGTAAGTCTCCAAAAAGCCACCTAGGGAGGTGCCAGGGGTATGATGGAGGGAAAAAGAGACAATGAGTCCAAGTCGGGGGAAGATCAGCCCCAGACTAGATGGTGGCCGTGACAAAAGTGGCCCTGTTCACTTTGGGGAGCCTCCAGTACCCAGGTCTAGGTAGGGCTACACGGAGGCACACTGGAAGGTTTACGTGGCTCTGATCTGGCCCTCACCACATGGACTGCTGGGTGCCGCGGACTCTCCCGGACAGCTTCTCTCCAGCCGAACCAGCAGGGACGAGGGTGTGGGCTTCCGGAACAGCTTCCTAGGGAGGGGATAAAGGAGAAGAGGCAAGGGGCTTCTGGCCTCTGAGGGGTGAAAAGCAGTTCACTAATGCCTTCCACCCCCTTGGATTTCCCAGGCCTCACCCAAGGGTCGAGCGAGGGAAGACCTTTTTGATGGCTGTAGCCACATGCTGGGCCAGCTGCTCTAGGGCAGCCACACCAGGAAACTCCAGGACCAGTTCAGGCAGTGACTCCAGCTCAAAGGTGACCTGGGGGAGGCGAGACTGTTGGGCTTTTTGGATCCATGTTTGGTGTTTGTTCAGAGCTCTATGTGTGGGGGTAAATGACCGAGCAGGGTGTAGGACCAAGGGGTCCTACTGTCTGGGGTCCAGCTGTCTCACCTGAGGAGGGGTTTCCTGTAGTACCATGGCCTGGACCTCCAGGTAGCTGAATGTGCAGTCCACCTGGAAAGCGCAGGGATCATCTGGGACTGAGGCCACTCTATGGACCCTCGTTTTTTTGTTTTTAAAATGTTTACATTTTAAAATTATTGGGTGTTTGGTCTGAATGTTTGTCTGGGTGCCACTTGCGTGCCCGGTGCCGGAAGACACCAGAAGGGGGCAGTGGGTCGCCTGAAACTAGAGTCCCAGTCAGTTGTGAGCCGCCGCCTTGTGGTGCTGGGAATGGAACCCGGCCGGGTCTTCTCTCTCCAGCTCATGATTTTATGGAGTCTAGTCCAGAGCTAGACCTGCCCAGACTCCCCTACATCTGCTGCTGGAAGCCGAGTGCTGTTGGGAAGTAAAAGCCAGCACAGCAAAAAGGACAACTCTGCAAATGCGGTTCCTTGCTGAAGAGGAAAGGAGAGCTGGCCAGGCCCGGGACTCACCCGCAGGGGCAGGCAGGTGTGCAGTAAATACGCTCTCCATCGGAGCAGGGCCTGGGGGAGACAAAACACTGACGTTCTAGGCACATCAAGCTTCTTTGGACTGGGCCTGGCCACTGTCCTGAACTCCACCCCTGGCCACCATACCAGGATATGACTTTGCTCAGCACCCTCCTGGGGAAGCCAGGTTTTCAACAGCAGCTCCGCCTCTTTGGGCCACAGGAACCTGGTGATCTCGCCTGTGGAAAGACACTCTGGGTGACTTTGGTCCTCCCACCCAGGGCCACTCTGTGCCCAAAGACTGTGCTAGGCTGGGTGCCCGGTTGTTCATCTATGGATCAGCTAGAAAGAAGTGGAGGGGATCTTTAGGTGCTGGCCCATCAGAACAGAACCTCTGGGCAAGTTCCCCGAGGCGCTGAGCGGAGGTCTAGTTTGGGGTCAGGCTACCTCTCCGAGGCCAGCTGGGCTTCCAGGAAGGGCCAGGCAGGGCTTACCTCGCAGTTCACAGGATATGCCATCTGGGGTCTGAGCCATAGGGCCGGGGCGGCCCAATGAGCTCTGGCGGGAAAAAGCAGCCAGCGGGAGCGTACACAGGAAGCTTGGGGCCCCGACAGCACTGTAGCCACCTGCTCCTCCTGCAGCGGAAGGTACGCGCCGCTTCCTGCCAGGCCGCCCCCGACCCGGCCCGGCCCCTCCCCGCCTAGCTTCGCTTGCTGAGTTTGCTTGGGTTGGAGGTTGTGGGAGGAAGGTCGAATCCTGGCTGCTGCTGTCGCTTTTCCGTCCCGGTATTCATGGGTGTGGTGAATGGTGGGGATAGTGAAGGTCTTGCCTGTTGCTTGTGGATCCCTGTACCCTGCTTTCACCCTGCCCCATAGTGATTGATGCGAACACCAGGGGGCGCCACCCTCCAGGGGATTCCATAGGCCCAACTTGGTCGGTCTCAAGACAGAGGTTGGGGAGGTGGAGTAGGCACTCAAAAGAAGCCAGAGAAGGGTGTCTCTTCAGCAAGATGCGACCAATTACCCAACCCTAAGGCTCCGCTCTGCTCAGACATGACTTCAAAAATCTGCCAACCTATTTGTAATCCTAGCACCGTGAAAGCTCCGCAGGGGGAAAACAGCCTGGGCTGCCGTTTCAGGGATGCCTGGGCTTTATAAAGACAAAAAGCCAGACTCCTTGGACTGGGGTGTGGGGTGCCTGCTTTTAATCCTAGGAGGTTGAGGTAAGACTCTGAGTTTGGTCAGAGCCTGATCTACAATCAAGACTATATGGAGAGACCCTTGTCTAAAAACAACAACAAAAAACAAAACAAAAAAAGACCAAACCTGGCAGTGGTGGCACACATCTTTAATCCCAGCACTCGGGAGGCAAGTGGATCTCTGTGAGTTCGAGGCCAGCCTGGTTTACAGGGTGAGTCTCAGGGCAGCCATAGCTACAAAGTGAAACTCAGTCTAGGGGAAAAAAAAAAAAAGCCAAAACAGACAAACAAAAGCCATACTCCTTTGTAGCAGTCCCTTTTCATCAGATTGGGGGCTTCTTCTTCTTCTTCTTCTTCTTCTTCTTATTATTATTATTATTATTGAGACAGTTTCTCTGTAACAGCCCTGGCCATCCTAGAACTCACTCTGTAGACCAGGCTGGCCTTGAACCCAGAGATTCGCCTGCTTCTGCCTCCCAAGTGCTGGGATTAAAGGCGCGCCACCACTGCCTGGCAGACTGGGGCTCTTAGGGGACAACTCTAGCTAATTATGGCCTGAACCTTAGGGAAGGCTGGAGTGACTCATGAGCAAATACCAGGTACAAGTGTGTCTTCATGTCTGCACTGAAGTGTAGGGAGAATTCACTTGAGAAAAAAGCTCGTCTAGAGCTGGAGATCAAGAAGTCAGTCATAAGGTGCGCTAGCCAGAAGCATATGAACCTACAAAAAAAAGCCAACAGGCTAGACTCCAGGGTTCACCGATTTCAAACTGTGCCCCGAGACGTCCACTGAATCTCACTGCTATCTACGGTTCAGCCAGAGAGAAATGGAATGTCCTAGAAAGCAGAAGAGACTGCATATTGGGTAGCTCTTCAGCATCTTTCCCATCTCTACCTACCTTCCCAGACTTGGCAATGAGACTGGATGCATCCTCTAGACAGGACCCTCTTGACCAAGTCCCAGTGATTCTGAATCATCAGGACTTTCTGGACCACAGAGACCCTGACTCTTCAAAACAAAATGGCCAAGCTCCAGGAGCATTTGCTTCATCTACGTGAGACCCAAGTTCAGTTTCCTGCACTGTGATGAGAACAAACCTCTTAATACGTGTTTGCTGACTTCCAAACAACTTGGGGGAAGACACTGCCATTTAAGCAAGAGGTACACAGAATGACAGCTGAAGGCAGACAAGGAGGGCTTGGCTAGAGCAGATGCCAATGGAACCAAGACGTTCTGAAGCCTCTCAGTCTGAGACTGACATGGAAGACTGTAAGGCCATCTGGAATCCACAAATGGCTTATAGGGTGACAAAATTTAGTTTCATGCACATTATGGCCAAGAATGTGGGTTTTGAAAGGCAAAGTGAATGAGTTTTGACACTTAGCCTCACTAGACTTTTGGAAGCTGTTGACACCTGAGTTATTCTCAGAACTTGATTTTTGTTTGTATGTGTGTCCGTGCACATTGTGTGGGTGCCCACAGAGGCCAGAAGGGCATCAGATCACCTAGTTGTAGGTAGTTGCACCCTGCCTGCAGGGGGCGCCGTCCTCTACAAGAGCAGCACCAGCTCCTAACTGCTGAACCGTTTCTCCACCTCCCTTTTTGTTGGCTCAGGGCCTTGCTGTCCTTGGCTGCTGGGTCCTACGTAGTCCATCCTGGCCTTAAGCTTGTGGCAAGCCTGCTTCACTTCCTGGGCGCTAGAATTGCAGGTGTGAGCCACTGAGCCAGCTTTGAACTCCTGCCTCCTCCTCCCAAATGTTGGTATTACAGGGGTGTGCCAGTATGCCTGACTTTAATGTTTCTTTAGAGATGTGTATTTAGTGAGCACTTCCGCTTGCCAAGACTACCATGGCAACTCTGGGACTTCAAAACCAGAGAGAAAAACCTACCCCAAGTGGGGTTTTTCTGATTAAAATGAGAAGGGGTGTCTGTCAAAGGGCTACAGAAGCATTCTCAGAGCCAAGGCAGCCACAGTACTTACAGGGTAGTCCCCGGCCCTGGGTGCTTGAGGCAGATAGGGACCCTGGGGAAACCAGGCTCTGCAGAAGTATGGAGGTCTAGCTACACAGCAGCTAGTGGTCAGCACAGTATTAACAAAACCAGCCCGAGACCCAGAACGCTCAGGCGGATTCTACGGGTGACATGAAGGCTCAAGGAGAACAAACTAGTGCACGTGGCTAACTCACCACAGGTGGTTTTACTAGAGGAGAACCTGACTAACACCATCGAGGACTCACTCTGAACAGGACAACTGCGGATAGGCCGAAGCCAGGCCAGGGATGGAAAGACCAGATTACAGACTATAGATTACCGTGGGCTCAGTAACTTGCCTACGTTTTCTCAGTAGACAGAGGGGCGAGCCCAGCTCCTGATGTTGAGGGGTTTAATGGACGCATGTCAGATATAGCATGAGCTGTGCAAAACCGCTGACTTTAGCTCCCTCAGAACCTCACCTTCCTGCCTGACCCTTCCCATCATGTCAGCCAGGACTGATGGACTCTTCAATTTTCAGGTAATTTGAATATACATAAATGCGGGCTGGGCTACTGATGATGTAGGTCAACAGAACTGGCTGACTATTCTGTAAAAGGGACTTTCTATTATAAATAATTCTAGTCCTGACAGTCCCAGGCTACAATATACAATAAAAAGATTCATTTAGGTGAGATGTCTGCCTAGTTTGGAATCTTCTAGACTCAATAAACCTATTATTCTGTTTTCCTCAGTAAATTGCTTGCACATGTAACATAAGCCAGCTACAATCTACATCAATCTTGCCCTTTGGCTTTTTTCTCACTGAAAAGCATCTGAAAAACAGTACTGGACTTTCAGTGAAATAACACAGAGAAATCCAGTAAGGAGTATTTTTGGTGAAACAA